TTATAAGCTACCATCAAGCAACAAAAACCAAAACCATTTTGATTTCAGTATGATTGACTAGATGGGTTTATCTATGACAGGAAACAAAAAAGTGATTGCCCTGTTTGCTCTAAAAAGGCAATGTGTGGTTTTGTCTTGTTCTTTGAGACAGGGCCTTACTATATAGCCCTGTCTAGCTAGGAACTCTCTATATAGATCAGGATGGCCATGAATTTATGAAGATCAGCCTGTCACCACTTCCCAAGAACTGAGACTAAAGACTTGTGTCACCATGCCCAGCAAGAGCCAAATTTTAGGTTTACGACTGCCTCATTCATCTGCAACATATAAGGAAATAGTCACAATCCAACTCAAAATTATTGATACAGAAAATTCAATTTTTAGACTTTAGATCACAATGATAACTACAATCCAAACCATATTGATTTAAATTCAAATTATATCTATAAGTGGGAGAACAGCTTAGTTGGTAAAGTACCTGCCTATCAAGCATGAAGATTTGAGTTTATCCCCCAAACTCAATTAAAGATGGCATACTATTATAATCCCAGATCTTGGGAAGTAAAATAGATAAATCCCTGAGGATTATAGGTTAGCCAATCGAACTTATTAGGAAATTCTCAAGCCAGTAAGAGAAGCTATTTCCAAACAAATGGATAATGTTTGAGTAATTAAACCCAACATTCTCCTCTGGCCTGTACACAAGTGAATTGCATCCATGTGCAGATAATTATACACTCCTAAAACAAATCACTAAATCCAAAGTTTAAGCTTTGAATTATCAACATGTGCTAAAACCACTAGGTGGCAAGTTAAAAATGTTAGTAAAATCACTAGTTGGTAATTACAACAAAAAATGTGTTTACACAAAAATATTAAGTGGTTACTACCTTAAAAAAGAATCAATCTCCGCAACACTGATGATATATACAAGCTGATTTTACTACCTATTACGTGTAACACATGAAACACACAGTGTATAATGTTATGCATGATATATCTTACTAAGATACACAGTAAGGACAGAGTAAAGATTGCCTAAAGCAAGGATGGAAAGGAAAGCGGGACAGGGAAGGACTGAATGCAGCTAACACATGAAGAAGACAACTGTGATGACAGAGGCAGTGGCTGGAGTAAAAGTAATCAAGGAAATATCCCAGTCTGATTCTTTAATACACAGAAACACACCAGGACTACAGAAAGTGACAAAGCGAAGAATCTGATACACAAACTTGTATAGGGCCACACTACCTGAGAGCACTCCAACCTTAAAAACTCAATGACTTGAGGCTGTCGCTTTGCAATGATTAAGCTCTGCTCTGTTCTTTGAGGACTAGGATCTGGAGGTTTTATACATGGCCTAAGGATTACAATGAATTTGTTATCTATTATTCTCAGAGGAAACCAACTGAGAACCACGAGAGTTTTCATATGCTGTCTTAACAGGATGGTCTCCAACTTCTGGGCTTAATTCATTTTCCTAACTTAGTCCTCCAAGTAGTTCAAACAACAGGCAGGTATCACGTGCTTGGTTGCAATATACTTTGGATTTTAAACATATCCCAAAGGTCCAACTATTAAAGTCTTCACTTCCAAAGAGAGGAAATAGAAAAGTAGAGAAACTTGCAAGTATTTGAGAAGTATTTTTAATTTTTCACTACTAGGGCTTAGAATGGTCTAGACATATTTATTGTGTGTATGGGGGGGGAGAGGAAGAGAGTGAGAGAGGAGGGGGGAGGAATGGAGGGATGGAGAGAAATAGAGAGGGAGAGAGGGAGACTGACAGAGACTGTATAAAAATGACACATACTTAAAAGAAAACAAAGTGGCCTGGGGAGACGGCTGGCTCAGCAGTTAAGAGCACTGGCTGCTCTTCCAGAGGACCTGAATTCAATTTCTAGCAACCACATGGTGGCTCACAAACATCTGTAATGGGATCTGATGCCTCTGGTGTGGATAAAGACAGAACACTCATGTATATACAAAACATAAATAAGTTTAAAAAAAAAAAAAGGAAGAAAAAGGCAAGCAAAGTACACCATAAAGTGCTTGAATGTCTGCATATTGACATCTTTTTGGATACCATGTTCCAGAAATCCCTTAAAGGAGCTCCAAATTCTAGATTGACATTCTCTAAATTCTTACATTGTTGTAATCACTGCTTAACATGTAAAATCATATTAAAGTTTTGTAATAATCATGATAGAAACAGTTTTCATTTTCATTTTTCCTCAGAGGAGGACCTTGGTGGTTTTACTCTATGTCCATCCATCTGATTCTCTTGACATACTGCATCCCATTGAACATGGAAGTCAAGAAGTCCTAGTAATCCTCCTGTCTCTGTCTCTGCCTCTCTCACTCAGTTTTTAAGTGGGTACTTGGGATTCAAACCCAGGACCCCATGCATACACAGCAAGGACTCTTACCCATTGAGCCATCATCTCAGACTTCATTTCAGAGTTTTTAACATAACTTATTTTACTTCAAAAATCACTTTCATGTAAAAAATTAGTACAGTAGTATGGACCCTTATTATACTAAGTAGACATTACTACAGAAATGAGGACTCTGGACTCAAGTCTTCTGATTAAGTGGAGTAGAAACAGAAGGAACAGAAACCAATGTTTTTATTTATCAGATACTTTAAAAAAAACCTTAATTTAAAAATATTAAGTTTGGCAAATTGTCAGGCAATTACTTAATACTTCCTATGAGAACTTGAGCAAGTCCTTTGAAGGTTTTGAGAAAGATGGGATAGAAAGAGAGTATCTCTGTATGTAAATTTGTTACTTCATGTTTTCAATAAGGCATAAAATGTCTTAACAATTTTATATACAACAGAAAAAATTGAAACTTTAATTTGAAATGGGAGGTAATTTGAATTTCCAGAAATAATATGCAGCATTTTATTGATGTTTTCTCAGTTTTTAAACTCAATCATCTTTAAACTTGTTAAAAATGAAATCTCTGAGGCCGGGCATTGGTGGCGCACGCCTTTAATCCCAACACTCGGGAGGCAGAGCCAGGCGGATCTCTGTGAGTTCGAGGCCAGCCTGGGCTACCAAGTGAGCTCCAGGAAAGGCGCAAAGCTACACAGAGAAACCCTGTCTAGAAAAAAAAAAAAAAAAAAAAAAATGAAATCTCTGATGACATGAATAGATACAGAAATAAAAAGTTCAATAATTAAATTTAAACAAAATAGCTCAGGGAAGCACATATAATTAGAAAAGAGAAGAAATACTGGATAGCACAGGCCTATAGCCTGGGGTTCCCAAAGGACCTAAGGAAGAAGAAGCCTAAGTTTAAGACCTGCCTGGGTTACAGGGCCAGTTCAAGGCCAATCCTGGCAACTTACTGAGACCAGGAGGGAGGGGAAACTGTGGCTGGTATGTAAAATAAATAAAAGCATTTAATTTTTTAGAAAGAAAGAAAGAAAAGAAAAGAAAAGAAAAGAAAAGAAAGAAAGAAAGAAAGAAAGAAAGAAAGAAAGAAAGAAAGAAAGAAAGGAAGAAAGGAAGAAAGGAAGAAAGAAAGGTCTTTATCAGACTTCCAAGGAAAACAAAACAAAAACTATGAGCCAAAATAAACATTTCCTCTTCATAAGTTAATTAATATAGATACTAGTCTTAGGAATCTGAACAATACAGTATTTCATATAAAACACATATAGATATTCATACCAATAAAGAAAAAATAAATTATAAACAATGTCATAAAATCAGTTTTTATGATCAGATAAGTTGAAGGGTTAAAAAAACCTGGGAATTTAAGAGGGGTTTTGAACACAAAATTAAAGGAGAGAAATTGGGGTTGGAGAGATGACTCAATGGTTAAAACCACTGGTTGCTCTTCCAGAGGACCTGGGTTCAATTCCCAGCACCTACATGACAGCTCACAACTAAGTGTAGTTCCAGTTCCAGGGGGTCCAACACCCTCACACAGACACACATGCAAGCAAAACACAATTGCACATAAAATAAAAATAAGCCATTAAAAATTAAGAAAAATAAAGAAGAGAAATTGAAGACATAGAAACGCATGAAGAACAACTCAATTCCTATGAAATATGACTAAATCAGACTACAAGATGTTGGCAGAGTACTTCTGTAATTGAGAACATGAAAAACACTTCTGGCATGAAATGCATGAGAAAATGTGGCTATCTGATGGAAAGGACATCAATTAAATTATACATATTTGAATGTTTGTCATCACATATTTGTATTGCTTTATTCAAATGGAAATTGATAGTAATAAAAAGACAAAACTAATCACAAAACTAATCTAGAGAAGACAATCCTGCTAATGCTGAAAAAAAAAAATCTTTCAGGAAATAGAAGTCTTCTGTAAATCAAAAGGATACATTAGAAGAATAAGTGATGGATTTAAGCGAGTACACAGAGTCACTTTATCATAAATACAATATAAAAATTAAAGTGTGAAAGTGTTTCTGAATCTTATAATACATCAAAACTAGAAATTGTGATTAGTTCGTGAATAATAAGAATAGAAACATATACACTAAATGAAAATTAGAGCACTCAAGTAGCATGTTCCAAGTAGAAGCACACACACAAGTATTTGGAAAGTCTGGAAAGTGAGAAGATTCTGTACCATATAAGTTTTGAGAAATGCTTAATTAAATACAGTTAAGCAAAATTTTCTACACTAGAATTTCTAACAACCTTAAATAATATGTCTTAATAAACTCTAAGATAGGCTTATATACAACACTGCTCAAACTTATCCAACCTCTAATAAACCATTTTCCCTCTAAAGCATTTAACAAAGTTAACATTTCATGTTGGTAATAAATAATGAAGTTGGGAATTGGAGATTGTCAGACTTAATGCAAGATGTTAACTTTAATTCAGGGCTTTATAAATGCTATTGTCTACTTTTAAATACTAAGCAAAAAAATTTTTTTTGAACAATCAACATATTTACTAAAGATTTAAAAGTATATGGAATCAATTTGTACAGATATTGGAATGTTATACCTCATCAAATTCTTCAGTCATTTTTCTGATGATTTCTGCATTCTGCATATTTCGAAACATCTCTATTCTGACAGTACCTGTGGAAAAATAGATTTTATAGTTAATCTTTATCTCACACTAAATATTAAGCCTAATCTGATCACTGTTTGAAAAGTTACATAAACTTATTTGGGTTTCCTGTTCATCTCAAAATTTTCCTTTAGTTAAAAAAAATTATGGGTATGAGTGTTTAGTCTATATGCAATGCCTGCAGGGGCCAGAAGAGGGTGTCTGATTCCCTAAAACAAGAATTACAGATTGTTGTACACCACCATGTGGATGCTGGAAGCCAAACCCAGGTAGGTCCTCTGGAAAAGTAGCCAATGCTCTTAACTGCTGAGCCATTTTCCAGCACCTCAAATTCTTTTTATACCATTTACTTTAAAAGAAATATAACACATTTTAATTAAATTTTTCTAAAACCAAGCCATTAAGTTCTATATAAAGATTAAAGATGAAAGCAAGTTTTTTTTTACTATTCTAATTCTTTTGTGTTACTTGATAGCTTAATTTTACCCCAAATATGGTTATAAAATTTATTAATGTACTGACATGCATTTTTTGTTAATTTTGAAAAATGTTTATTTTTTAAAAGGTCAACATAATTTAGGGCTAGGGCAATATAGATCAGTGACAGAGCACTTGCTTAGCACAGCATACATGTGTCCATAGTACAGTCCCCATTATGGCATCCAACCCCCTCCCCCTCCAAAAACATCAATGTAATTTTGAGACAGGGAATGATGGTAGAATGTTTGTCTGGTATGCATGAAGCACCCTAGATTTGAGCTCTAGCATTGCATAAACAAGGAACAGTGGCACATAGCAAGTTCCAGGACAAACTAGACTGCATAAGATGCCATCTCTAAAATCAAACACAAGACAAAAAAATATAATTTAAAGAAATTAAAAGCTTATAAAGAACACTGAAGCAGAGAATCTTGACCTAATTTTTTTAAAAAAAGATTCGCCTTTATTTGTGTAAATGTAACATACTCAAAATTTTCGTTCGTTTTGAGGGTGGCTGGGTAGGTGGCTCAGTGGAAAGGGCACTTGCTGCCAAGCCTGACCCCAGTTTCATCCCCTGGACTCACACAGTGAAAAGAGAGAATCAACTTTTACAAGTTGTCCTCTGACCCCCACATATAACATGGGGCATGCTCATACACACATAAATAAATAAGCAAATAAATAAATAATTATAATAATTCTTTTAGTCACAAGATTAACGCTTAAAAAAGGATGAAAGTCCTTAAAAACCAACCTTCAGGTTGACGCCCCTCTTCAGCAACCCCCAGCAATTCAAGCTCTTAGGAACTCATCCAATAACTATGAAAGTAGTAGCACTCACAAAAAATATACTAGGGAGAAAAGTACTACACATGTGACCTGAAAACCAGATCATAAAAGCAACATAGTTCCACTTTTTTCTACGAGTTGTAGGGAACACCAAAGATAATGAGACTACAGAGACTCCCATAAGATGAAGTAAGGACTCTAGTCAACAACAAAAGAGTAAGTATTTTTGGAAAAAAGAAATTCCTCCCCTAGACAAAACTTACAATGATGGCGACCCTGAGCAACAAACTGAACATAGCACTGTAAGACAAGGAGAATCAGAACTACTCCATCTGAGCTGATATTAAATTCTTGAACCACAGAAACAGTGATAATGATAAACAATTCTGTTTTTAACCAATAAACTATACAACAACTTATCAAAAAGCAATAAACATGTAGTATAAATTGCTCAAAGATTTAATGTACAATAACCAGAAAACATACATTTAAAAGAATTTGAAGTATTCTTTTTGTGTGTGTACAAATGTGGGAGGAATGTAAATATGTGCACATGAATATGTGCAGGTACAGTTGGGTGGAGGCCTGATACTGACATCTGGTCCACCTTTAACTGAGGCAGAACCTCACTGAATCTAGAACTCAGGATTTTGAGTATTCTGGCTAGCCAGCTTGCTTCAGGGACTCCCTGTCTTCACATCTTGCTGCTGGGATGACAGACAGGTGGGATTTCCTGCACACCCAGGATTTTATGTAGATTCTGGAGAGCTGAAACCCAGTTCTCATATATGTTCAGCATGTGTTTTCTCCAATGAGCCATCTCTCATGTTCATGGAAGGAAAAAGATGACATCAGCACCTTAACTTCAGGTGATTTTTATAAATGATTCAAGAATTTTATTACTATCTGTTTATTCAACAAAAACACAATGATGAGAAAACTCAGACATAAATGGCCACATGTGATAAATTACAGATGAATAAATTTAAAAAGAATAAAGATCCAACACGTGAACTAGCAAATTATATATTAATAAAAGGAAACAACTGATACACATGGTAATATTTATGGTTTTTCAATATAAAAGGTTGAAAAAACAGTGTCAAAACAGGAAAGGATGGACCCAGCAAGATGTCTCAGTTGGTAAAGGTGCCTACTGCCAGGACTGATGAAATTAGTTTGATATCTGAACCAGTGTGATGCAAACTGACCCCCACAGGTTGTCCACTGACTTCCATACATTTGTTGTGTCAAGTGCAGGTTCATACATATATCCACAGATGCACACGCACATAAAATAAGTAAATGAAAATGTAGTAACATTGTTTTAAAAGATACAGCATCATTCCATTCATACAAAGCCCCAAAACAGGGCCTAACAGAACACACCTTTAATCCTAGCACTGAGGAGGCAGAACAATATCTCTATGAATTTAAGACCAGACTTGTCTGCTTAGCGATATCTAGGCCACCCATACTGACAAAGTGAAATCCCGTCTTACAAAAAAACCAAACAAACCAAAAAAACAAAAACAAAAACAAAAAAACCAAACAAACCAAAAAAAAAAACAAAAAACCTCTAAAACAAGCAAACTGTACTGATTAAGTTTAAAGTCACCTAGCATGACCAAGTGTACATGAAGAGTAGGAGAGCTAAGAGAAATTGGTATAAAATAAAAACTTCTCATAGACAGGAAAATACTATATATTATAACTGAAGAGGCATTAGGTAGTTATATGCAGTTATATAAAGTCATTCAGTAGAATACTAAAATGTGTCAATTTTAATTTAATTTTATCTTTGTTCCACTGATTCTCCTAATTTTAAGAATATGGTCAAATCACTTATGGTAGATCCAGGAACTAGAAAAAAAATCATATTTGCTTAGAATACCCGCCCCCTATGGTTCTTCCATCCAGTTCTGTAACTTAGAACTTTAGAAACATGGAAAACCTAAAACATTATAAATCTAACCTTGCCTGTAACTGGTTGTTTATAGCCTCGGGCAAGAAAAAGTATAGATAATGTGAACAATACTATTTCAATAATGACTTATACTTAGTGCTTTAAGATCCTGAGCACTGTAAATGATGCTCTACTCTATTTCCATAACTAATACCCCAAGTTCAAGCACAGTACTTTTACCTATATTTTCAATGAAATAGAGAAGCTCACACACACACACAAAAAACCATCATTTCAAGTGCTAACATTAAGAGAGGGAGGAATGCCAGGCAGTGGTGGCGCACGCCTTTAATCCCAGCACTTGGGAGGCAGAGGCAGAGGCAGAGGCAGAGGCAGAGGCAGAGGCAGAGGCAGAGGCAGATGCAGAGGCAGGGGGATCTCTGTGAGTTGGAGGCTAGCCTGGGCTACAGAGTGAGTTCCAGGAAAGGCACAAAGCTACACAGAGAAACCCTGTCTCAAAAAACCAAAATCAAAACCAAAATAAAACACAATTACTCTTTTTATGAGGCTACAGTTACCCTGATACCCAAACAACACAAAGATGCAACAAAGAAAGAGAATTACAGACCAATCTCTCTCATGAACATTGATGCAAAAATACTCAACAAAATATTGACAAACCGAATCCAAGAACACATCAAGGGAGAGAAGAAAACAGTAACTAGCAAAGAAACCACTATGAAGAGTACCTCATGTTTCATACCTTTGTAAGGACTATAAAATGGAAATAACCTATTAATAACTCAAATGCCATGATGCTAACGTATTATCTTTTTTTAACAAAGAACACCCATGCATACTCCCACATGGATAATATTCTAAAGATTAGTCTTCTCCACAACATGACTAAATAAATGCCTTTGACAACATTATCTCCAGATTGCCACAACAGTCTTTTCTTGCCTTAATACTTTAACATTTTTAAAACTATACTAGTTGTTATAGCAGCTCTATATTGTATTTAGAGACAAGTTTCTCATTTCTTTCATTTGGTCATTTATCTGAGTAGACTTAGGTATTTTCAAAGTTCTATCCATTACAATACTGAATTCTGCACTTTCTAACATGGAAATATATATTTTATACCCCTAGTAATTTACTCATAAAGAGTACTGCAGACACCATGACATACTAAAATTTTCATTCCATTAGTTGTTTCAAAAATACTTAACATCCTGAGTTTTTTCTTATTGAAAGTTTCTTTTAGAGAAAAAAAATTACATAACTGAACACTGGCAACAAAACTAAAGAAGCGATCTTAAGACATTTGCTTTGGGGTTTTTTAATTTTTCACATTCATATCTTTCTTCATATTATGTCAATGTGTGTGTACACATGGGCCAGTGGGTGATAATCAGAGGACAACTTGCAAAAGTCAGTTCTTTCTTTCCAGCATATAGGTCCCAAGGATTAACTATGGGTTGCCAGACTTGACACCAAGCACCTTTACCTGCTGAGATACCTCCTGGGCCTTATATTATGGTTTATAAAGATGTGTATGTCTGCATGTATGATTATGGTCATACATGCCGCCCATAATCTCATGCCAACCAACTAATAGTGTCCTACATTCAAAGAAACATAAATATTGAAAACAAAGAAAGGGAATTATTGAGATTAAATACCACTCTTTTAAATATTAAAAACTTATGAGAGAATCTCAAACTAATTATCTTATCACCACCATACACAAATGATTTATACACACACACACACACACACACACACACACACACACACACACTTTTTGAAAAGAAATCCATAAAAGATTAT